GGTGGGAGGAGTCATTTGGTTAGTTTTGAGTGAAATCCGATCTCTAGAACTATGGAATACACCAACCACTCCGATTAGGAACGAATTGCCTTTGAACATAAATTGTCCAATTTCTTACAACTATTGACTTCGGATCGAGCCCAACACTTGTGCAACATCATAATATGGTGGGAGGAGTCATTTGGTTAAGTTTGAGTGAAATCCGATCTCTAGAACTACCCAAAACACCAACCACTCCAATTAGGAACGAACTGCCTTTGAACTTGAATTGTCCAATTTCTTACACCTATTGATTTTGGATCGAGCCCCAAACTTGGGCCACATCATAATATGGTGGGAGGAGTCATTTGGTTAATTTTTTGTGAAATCTGATCTCTAGAACAACCCAAAACTTGGGCTACATCATAATATGGCGGGAGGAGTCATTTGGTTAAGTTTCAGTGAAATCCGATCTCTAGAACTACCCAAAACACCAACCACTCCAATTAGGAACGAACTGCCTTTGAACTTGAATTCTCCAATTTCTTACACCTATTGATTTCGGATCGAGCCCAGAACTTGGGCAACATCATAATATGGTGGGAGGAGTCATTTGGTTAATTTTGAGTGAAATCCGATCTCTAGAACTACCCAATACACCAACCACCCCGATTAGGAACAAACTGCTTTGGAACATGAATTGTAAAATTTCTTACACCTATTGATTTCGGATCGAGCCCAAAACTTGGGCAACATCATAATATGGTGGGAGGAGTCATTTGGTTAATTTGGAGTGAAATCCGGTCACTTGAACTACCCAAAACACCAACCACTCCAATTAGGAACGAACTGCCATTGAACTTGAATTGTCCAATTTCTTACACCTATTGATTTCGGATAGAGCCCAACACTTGGGCATCGTCATAATATGGTGGGAGGAGTCATTTGGTTAATTTTGAGTAGGGGTGGGCATATGAACCGAAAAATCGGAAAACCGAACCGCACCGGAAGAAAAAAAACCGGAAAAAACCGAGTTGACTAAAAAGTCAACAAAATTGGACCGAACTGGACCGGACCGGTTTAAACCGGTTCCAGTTCCGGTTTTACATATGACAGAACCGGACCGGACCGGACCGAACCGGTCCAGTATTTAATATATAATATAAAATATAAAAATATTATTTTATTAGCTCAGTTCTATTTTGTTAGAATAGAACTGGCCATATATGATAAAACCTAACCCCTTTTAGTTTACGCGAATTAGGTTTTCCTCAGTCCCTCTCTTCTCTCTCACTCTCCTTCTATTCTCTCAGATGCAGATCTCGCCGCCATCGCACAGCTCAAGTGACTCCCCAAGACCTCGCCAGATTTGGTACATTTTCGTGCTAATTTTATCTGGGTTGTAGTCGGATTGATGATTTATCGCTCGTTTTCGTGCTCAGTATTTCTTTTTCTTTTCATTAACGTGCTATTGAGGTCATTCTTGTGGCGTGCCTAATTGGGTTTCTTGAATATTGAATTTGTATTGGTGATTTTGAATATTTTAAGAAATGGGTTTTGTTTGTGGTGATATTTTGTTTTTGCATTTCAAAATTTCGATATTGGATTATGGTTTATTATAAAGCACAGGGCTCAGTTTGTGATTGTCTGCGTGCTTATCGAAAACTAATTTGGATTTGTTTGTTCAGGTCCTGCTTCTTGGCTGAGCAGCTATGTATTTCGTTTGCATCTGCATACCAGTAGTTTAGGATGTTTGTTTGGAGTAATGGCATCATATTCGGTTTTGTTTTTGGATTTGCTCAACCTGCATGTGATAAACTTACATGTTCTAGTTCACCTAACATCTTTGCAATTGAGTTTCCTAATGAGATGAAAGGTTTTTCAATTTATATTAGATGGTCTGCCCATACTATCAAGTTATTTATCATTAAGGGTTTAGGGTTTAGGGTCTTCTTCTGTATTGAGAACTAGGACTCTTTTCTTTCACAGGTTTATCTAGATGAGATCAAAGAACAGGCAGGCCCAAAAGTTGGTGAGTCTCTCTATCTCTCTCCCACAAATGTACACATAAGTGGAGCATTATGATGAGGAAGTTGGTTAGACTTTTTACAAGACTATATATTTAGCTCGAAGGCTTCTGTTTTATCATGAATTAGGTTTTGTTTTAAAGTATTGGAAACTTGTTATTATATCAAGCTAAATTTCTGGAAACGCCATATATCCATTTTTTCACCTTTACATCATGCTCAATAGATGCTTTCAATGTGTTTTCATCGCTTAATCCCAACAAGTGGATTGAATTTAAGTTGCAAGATACTGCAAGGGTTAGCCACAACACTCAATTGTTCAGGTATATCCTCTGGACTCTCTCCAGATTCCTTAAATATGTTAAACTATTATCTGAAAGAAATTAATTTAGATCAGAAGAATCACAGCAAGAACAAATTTTTGTAGTTTCAAATAAATCTGCAATAATATGAAGATGTCCTTTTTATTTATTTATGTTTCCTATAGGTTTTTAGACATGGAAATTGATTTCTTTTAGTTGTCTGTAAAAATTGGCAGATTTACTGGTACTTGGCTTTAGCTTGTTCAGATGGTGGGTTGTTTGGTTTTTAAAAGATCTGGTACTTGGCTTTAGCTTGTTCAGATGGTGGATGGTGTTTTATGCAGATCTTTGAGGAGAAGAAGCAGTAGCAAGAGCAGCTTAAGCAGTTTAATAGTAGTTTTGATAAATAATTAATTGCATTAATTGGATGGGTTTATCAGTTTATTAATGCTGCTATGTTGAATCCATTGAGTTAGGTATTTGTTTTTAGTTTGATGTGATTTAATGATGTATACTATTAATATATATATATATATATATATATATATATAGTTGCATTTTTGCCTAATGTTTTAATGTGTGTTTTTATTTGTAGATCTTACAATTTTACTGGCACCTACCAACTCAAGTCCTTCGTTCCAGTGATAATTTAATATGTGAAGCCTTCGTTGGTGTTATTATATGTTAATTTTTGGCTTATGTTTCAAATTTCAAATTTGGTTTGTAATTTAATTATTAATTTTTACGTTGAGATATAATTCCTAAGATTGTATGTTTGGTTTGGATGACCATGTTTTGTATTTGGAAGTTAAGATGGCATGTAGAAATTATTTTAGGCCAAATTTTTATAGGAATGTGAATAGGGTCTTATATGCTACTTAAGCCCACAAAGAAACAAATTGTTTTATTTTAAAAAAAAAGTAAACCGGCCCAAACCGGCCAAAACCGGAAAACCGGACCGGATCAGACAGTTCGGCTTGATCCGGGTTTTCTTCTATTTTTTTAAAAAATCGGACCGGACTGGACCGGATGAACAGTACCGGTTTCGGTTTCGGGTTAAGTTCTGAACCGGGCCGAATGGGACCGCGCCCAGCCCAAATTTTGAGTGAAATCCGATCTCTAGAACTACCCAATACACCAACCACCCCGATTAGGAACAAACTGCTTTTGAACATGAATTGTAAAATTTCTTACACCTATTGATTTCGGATCGAGCCCAAAACTTGGGCTACATCATAATATGGTGGGAGGAGTCATTTGGTTAAGTTTCAGTGAAATCCGATCTCTAGAATCTTACACCTATTGATTTCGGATAGAGCCCAACACTTGGGCATCGTCATAATATGGTGGGAGGAGTCATTTGGTTAATTTTGAGTGAAATCCGATCTCTAGAACAACCCAATACACCAAGCACCCCAATTAGGAATGAACTGGCTTTGACCTTGAATTGTCCAAAGTCTTACACCTATTGATTTTGGATCGAGCCCAAAACGTGGGCAACATCATAATTTGGTGGGTGGAATCATTTGGTTAATTTTGAGTGAAATCCGATCTCTAGAACAACCCAATACACCAAGCACCCCAATTAGGAATGAACTGGCTTTGACCTTGAATTGTCCAAAGTCTTACACCTATTGATTTTGGATCGAGCCCAAAACGTGGGCAACATCATAATTTGGTGGGTGGAATCATTTGGTTAATTTTGAGTGAAATCCGATCTCTAGAACAACCCAATACACCAAGCACCCCAATTAGGAATGAACTGGCTTTGACCTTGAATTGTCCAAAGTCTTACACCTATTGATTTTGGATCGAGCCCAAAACGTGGGCAACATCATAATTTGGTGGGTGGAATCATTTGGTTAATTTTGAGTGAAATCCGATCTCTAGAAATATGGAACACACCAACTACTTCAATTAGGAACGAACTACCTTTCAACTTGAATTGTCCAATTTCTTACACCTATTGATTTCGGATCGATCCCAAAACTTGGGCAACATCATAATATGGTGGGAGGAGTCATTTGGTTAAGTTTGAGTGAAATCCGATCTCTAGAACTACGGAACACACCAACCACTCCGATTCGGAAGGAACTGCCTTGGAACGTAAATTGTCCAATTTCTTACACCTATTGATTTTGGATTGAGCCCAAAACTTGGGCAACATCATAATATGGTGGGTGTTGTCATTTGGTTCATTTTTAGTGAAATCCGATCTCTAGAACTATGGAATACACCAACCACTTCTATTAGGAACGTACTGCCTTTGAACTTGAATTGTTCAATTTCTTACGCCTATTGATCTCGGATCGAGCCCAAAACTTCGGCAACAACATAATATGGTGGGAGGAGTCATTTCGCTAAGTTTGAGTGAAATCCGATCTCCAGAAATACCCAAAACACCAACCACTCCAATTAGGAACGAACTGCCTTTGAACTTGAATTGTCCAATTTCTTACACCTATTAATCTCGGATCGAGCCCAAAACTTCGGCAACAACATAATATGGTGGGAGGAGTCATTTCGCTAAGTTTGAGTGAAATCCGATCTCCAGAAATACCCAAAACACCAACCACTCCAATTAGGAACGAACTGCCTTTGAACTTGAATTGTCCAATTTCTTACACCTATTAATCTCGGATCGAGCCCAAAACTTCGGCAACAACATAATATGGTGGGAGGAGTCATTTCGCTAAGTTTGAGTGAAATCCGATCTCCAGAAATACCCAAAACACCAACCACTCCAATTAGGAACGAACTGCCTTTGAACTTGAATTGTCCAATTTCTTACACCTATTAATCTCGGATCGAGCCCAAAACTTCGGCAACAACATAATATGGTGGGAGGAGTCATTTCGCTAAGTTTGAGTGAAATCCGATCTCCAGAAATACCCAAAACACCAACCACTCCAATTAGGAACGAACTGCCTTTGAACTTGAATTGTCCAATTTCTTACACCTATTAATCTCGGATCGAGCCCAAAACTTCGGCAACAACATAATATGGTGGGAGGAGTCATTTCGCTAAGTTTGAGTGAAATCCGATCTCCAGAAATACCCAAAACACCAACCACTCCAATTAGGAACGAACTGCCTTTGAACTTGAATTGTCCAATTTCTTACACCTATTGATTTCGGATCGAGCCCAAAAGTTGGGCAACATCATAATATGGTGGGAGGAATCATTTGGATATGTTTGAGTGAAATCCGATCTCTAGAACTACCCAACACACCAACCACTCCAATTTGGAACGAACTGCCTTTGAACTTGAATTGTCCAGTTTCTTACACATATTGATCTCGGATCGAGCCCAAAACTTCGGCAACAACATAATATTGTGGGAGGAGTCATTTCGCTAAGTTTGAGTGAAATCCGATCTCCAGAACTACCCAAAACACCAACCACTCCAATTAGGAACGAACTGCCATTGAACTTGAATTGTTCAATTTCTTACACCTATTGATTTTTGATCGCGCCCAAAACTTGGGCAACATCATAATATGGTGGGAGGAGTCATTTGGTTACGTTTTTGTGAAATCCGATCTCTAGAACTACCCAAAACACCAACCACTCCAATTAGGAACGAACTGCCTTTGAACTTGAATTGTCCAATTTCTTACACCTATTGATTTCGGATCGAGCCCAAAACTTGGGCAACATCATAATAAGGTGGGAGGAGTCATTTGGTTAGTTTTGAGTGAAATCCAGTCTCTAGAACTATGGAATACAGCAACTACTCCGATTAGGAACGAACTGCTTTTGAACTTGAATTGTCCAATTTCTTACAACTATTGATTTCGGATCGAGCCCAAAACTTGGGCAACATCAAAATGTGGTGGGAGGAGTCATTTGGTTAAGTTTGAGTGAAATCCGATCTCTAGAACTACCCAAAACACCAACCACTCCAATTAGGAACGAACTTTTGTATTGTCCAATTTTTTACACCTATTGATTTCGGATCGAGCCCAAAACTTGGGCAACATTATAATATTGTGGGAGGAGTCATTTCGTTAAGTTTGAGTGAAATCCGATCCCTAGAACTACACAATACACCAACCACTCCAATTAGGAACAAACTGCCTTTGAATTTGAATTGTTCAATTTCTTACACCTATTGATTTCGGATCGAGCCCAAAACTTGGGCAACATCATAATATTGTGGGAGGAGTCATTTGGTTAGGGTTCAGTGAAATCCGATCTCTAGAACTACCCAAAACACCAACCACTCCAATTAGGAACGAACTTCCTTTGAACTTGAATTGTCCAATTTCTTACACCTATTGATTTCGGATCGAGCCCAAAACTTGAACAACATCATAATATGGTGGGAGGTGTCATTTTGTTAGTTTTGAGTGAAATCCGATCTCTAGAACTATGGAATACACCAACCACACCGATTAGGAACGTACTGCCTTCGAACATAAATTGTCCAATTTCCTACACCTATTGATTTCGGATCGAGCCCGAAACTTGGGCAACATCCTAATATGGTGGGAGGAGTCATTTGGTTAAGTTTGAGTGAAATCCGATCCCTAGAACTACCCAAAACACCAACCACTACAATTAGGAACGAACTGCCTTTGAACTTGAATTGTCCAATTTCTTACACCTAATGATTTCGGATCGAGCCAAAAACTTGGGCAACATCATAATATGGTGGGTGGAGTCATTTGGTTAGTTTTTAGTGAAATCCGATCTTTAGAACCGTGGAATACACCAACCACTCCTATTAGGAACGAACTGCCTTTGTACATAAATTGTCCAATTTCTTACACCTATTGATTTCGGATCGAGCCCAAAACTTGGGCAACATCAAAATATGGTGGGAGGAGTCATTTCGTTAAGTTTGAGTGAAATCCGATCTCTAGAACTACCCAAAACACCAACCACTCCAATTAGAAATGAACTGCCTTTGAACTTGAATTGTCCAATTTCTTACACCTATTGATTTCGTATCGAGCCCAAAACTTGGGCAACATCATAATATGGTGTGGGGAGTCATTTGGTTAAGTTTGAGTGAAATCCGATCTCTAGAACTATGGAATCCGATCTCTAGAACTACCCAAAACACCAACCACTCCAATTAGGAACGAACTGAAATCCGATCTCTTGAACTACCCAAAACCCCTACCACTCCAATTAGGAACGAACTGCCTTTGAACTTGAATTGTCCAATTTCATACACCTATTGATTTCGGATCGAGCCCAAAACTTGAACAACATCATAATATGGTGGGAGGTGTCATTTTGTTAGTTTTGATTGAAATCCGATCTCTAGAACTACCCAAAACACCAACCACTCCAATCAGGAACGAACTGCCTTTGAACTTGAATTGTCCAATTTCTTACACCTATTGATTTCG